ACACACACACACACACACACACACACACACCAATCCCTATTTTGAGATTTTGCTCTGAACAAGGCATTGAAAATGTCAAAACCTCTCAAAAGGAGCTTAAAACGCTGCATATTTAAATTATAACAGCTATCTCCTTTTTCATTTTCCCAATTTTACATTCTTAAAACCCTAATTTCATGTCATTTCCCTGCTCCAAAAATCTCTACTGGCCTCAAGATGAGGTTCTCCTCAGGACAACATAGCTTGGCCCTATTCTAACCGTACTGTGAAGTTATTAACAGTTTGAGTGGAATTGGGCTACTCATATGTGACTCCTAGGTCCACTTAGCTGTGTGACCCAGGGCCAACAAGCTAACCCCAGTACACTTTCTCAGGCAGCTCCTCCTCTCTAAAACGGTGCGAGTATCCTATCAAAGTGAAAACCCACACAAAGTGCTTCTTTCACACACAATGCCTGGCCCAGAGATGTAGCCTTTAAACCTTAGATATTATTCTTACTTTTCCCCCCAAAAATGCATACTGCACTGGACCGCCCCTCATGGCCTCTGCTGGTGGTGTCCCCACCCATGAAGCAATACTCCTTCACCATCACCACAAACAAAGAGTACACACTCAACACTATACAGTCAAGGTGCCAGGCTGGAAATACAGGAAAAGCAAACAGTCCCAATGCTCAGAGCTCACAGTCTAATAATGAAAGGCAGCCAAAGAGAGGTGCAATGTGTCGCGGGTGCCAAGGGAAGCCCTTCCTGGAGGCAGTGGAGATACGCTGAATCCTGAAAGCTGAGTGGGTGAATCAGGCAGTGGGTGAGTGTGGAGTAAGAGCACCCAGCATGGCAGGCACAGTCACTGAACGGAGCCAGGCACTGCTGGAACACCAAGGCTGAGAGCAGGCAGAAGGAGTGGAGGCTGGAGAAGAGGTGGCTTCAGGAAAGTCACTGCACATTCTTCTGTAGGCAACAGGCTGCCACTAAATGACATTAAGTAGGGTGTGGCTGCTTGGGCTGAGAAGGCTACTTTGTGCTGTCCAACACTGAAGCCATAAAATAATGACTGATTAAAAAGTAGCTGGCGAGACTGAGGAACTAAAATTTAATTCTAATCTATTTAAATTTAAAAACTGACATGCAATTCAGTTGGTAGAAAACTACGGTGTATGTTTGGAACAATTAGGGAATATGAATTTACCTTTTCAACTGTAACTAATGAACGCTAAATACAGATCAAGTTTTTTGGGGTTGGTTTGTTTGGTACCAGGGATTGAACTCAGGGGCACTTAACCACTGAACCACATCCCCAGCCCTTTTTTACTTTTTATTTAGAGACAGAGTTTCCTCTAAGTTACTTAGGGCCTTGCTGAAGTTCCTGAGGCTGACTTTGAACTTGTGATCCTCCAGGCTCAGCCTCCTGCACTGTTGGAATTACAGGCATATGCCACCATGCCAGGCCAGATCAAGTATTTCTGATGAAAATTTAACATCCAAACTGAAATGAGATGTAAATGTACAGTAACACAACAGATTTCAAAGAGAGTATAAAAAGTAAAATATTTCATTAATAATCTTATACTAATCATATGTTGAAATAATATTTTGAAAATATTAAAGAAGTCATTAACATTAATTTCACCTGTTTCTTTTTACTTTTTTTTTTTTCCCTTAAAAATTCCTGCCCATATTGGGCAGGAATTAAACAATCCTTGTGTGTCAGGCTCCTGAGGGGCTGGGATTACAAACACACTGCTTCTTTTTTTTTTTTTTTTTTTTTGTAGTTGTAGTTGAACAGCATGCCTTTATTTTATTTGTTTATTTTTATGTGGTACTGAGGATCGAACCCAGTGCCTCACAAGTGTTAGGCAAGCGCTCTGCCACTGAGCTATGGCCCCAGCCCCTTCTTTTTACTCTTTAATGTAGCTACTAGAAAATATAAAACGACACATAGCTTGCATTATATTTCTACTAGACAAGACTGATCAAATAGATCCAAGGGGCTCAGCACAGTGGCACAAGCCTGTAATCCCACTGGCTCAGGAGGCTGAAGCAGGAGGATCACAAATTCAAAGCCAGTCTCAGCAACTTAAAACAAAACAAAAACAGGCTGGGGATGTGGTTCAGTGGTTAAGCACCCCTGGGTTCATCCTTGGTACAAAAAATTTTTAAAAAATCCAAAGGCAGAGGAAAGAGACTTGAAGCAGGAAGACCAATAATAAATCCTTTCATGAGTGTCCAGGTAAGAAAAACAAGCCTGAGTTACCTAAATTCTGCCCACCTTCAAAACCTAACTCAAGACCTACTACAATTCCAAAAGTGCCTCCCATCATAACCATTCCTAAGGAGCTGCCTTTCTCTGAATTCTTGGGATGTTTATCATCTGTAGTATTCACTACTTCCTTAATCATTTACCACCTGTCATTTTTACCTAATTTTGGGGTGATCTGTTTCTCAGATTAGACTAGAAGCTCCTAGTCCAAGGACCATAATTTAGATATCATTAATATCTCCACATTGTGTAAAGCATTTCAATACATTTCCTAAACAGAAGCAGCACAGGGCTCCCCAAATATGCCATCACACAAACATCTGGAGACAACCTTGTGACTGACTTTACCTTCCCACAACAGAAAATAGTGAGAATCTCTTCCTTCAGGCATTTTAAGATGATATAAATGTCAACCAAAAAACCAAGCCTGTGTTCCACTAAAGCAGTGATGTCTAATAATCATTGATCGATTATATCGGATACTATTAGGAAACTGTCAAGATGACAGTGCAATTAGGGTTTTCACAAATTGCAAAGTCAAAAAACAAAAATTCTGATTGTCTTCAATCTCAATCTCTACCGCCAAAGATAACCTTTGCATCCTAAGCATTAAGAATTTTCAACACTCATCTTTAAATTTTAAAACTTAACCCCCAAACTAGTTCTAATAAATAACACTTCCCAGGGAGGGAACTATATATTACTAGTAAATCTACATCTTGCCATTTTCCCATCTAAATTAAAGTAAGGTGAAGGGGGGAAAAATATGTTTTTAGTGAAATGTTAAGAAATAGTTGGGGGCTGGGGATGTGGCTCAAGTGGTAGCGCGCTCGCCTAGCATGCGTGCGGCCCGGGTTCGATCCCCAGCAGCACCACATACCAACAATGATGTTGTGTCCGCCGAGAATTAAGAAAAAATAAATAAATGTTAAAATTCTCTCTCTCTCTCTCT